CTGAAGATCTCAGGACTTTCTCTCTCTCCAGTACCTCGCCCTGGTAAACTAGAGCTGTCTTAGCCTCGTTCAATTTCCAGCTCTATCTCCTCAACTCAGGGGACCCAGTGGGCCCTGTGTGGGTTTCCCTTTCTTGCATTGCACTCCCCCAGGCAGTAAGTGGGGCCAATAGTAGGGCTGACTTCACTATTTTCCTTTTCTCAGGGCTCACTGTCCTGTGCTACCCATTGTCCAATGTCTAAGAACAATTGTTTTATATACTTTGTTCATGTTTTAATTGTGGGAGGGTGAATGTAGTCCCTGTTATTCCATCATGGGCAGACACTGATGTCTCCTTGCTTGTCTCTTCATATCAGACAACTTTTTTTTTTTTTTTTTTTTTCAAGACAGGGACTCGCTCTATTGCCCAGGCTGGAGTGTAGTGGTGCCATCATAGCTCACTGCAGCCTTGATCTCCCAGGCTCAAGCGATCCTCCCCACTCAGTTACCAGTGATCCTCCCCACTCAGTCTCCCAAGTCTGGGACTTAAGACATGGACCACTAGGCCTGGCTAGTTTTTCTTTTCTTTTTTTTTTTTTTCCGGCAGAGAAGAGGTCTCCCTATGTTGCCCAGGCTTGTCTCAAATTCCTGTTTGAAGGCTCAAGAGATCCTCCTACCTTGGCCTCCCAAAGTGCTGGGGTTGCAGGGGTGAACCACCACACCTGGCCACATCAGACAACTTTAAAGGCCATGAGCCATCCTATGATTTACCTTTCTTATGATCATGTGTCTTCCCAGTGTTCAATCAGCTGTGGCCAGGGACACTTAGTACACAATTCTGCTACTACAGTGGTGACATGGTTAGGCTTGTGTCCCCACCCAAATCTCATCTTAAATTGTAATCTCCATAATTCCCATAATTCCCATGTGTCAAGGGAGAAACCAGGTGGAGGTAACTGAATTATGGAGGCAGTTTCCCCATGTTGTTCTCAAGATAGTGAGTTCTTTTGAGATCGGTTGGTTTTATAAGGCACTCTTCCCCCTTCGCTCAGCACTTCCTCCTGCTGGCTTGAAAAGAAGGTGCCTTGCTTCCCCTTCACCTTCCACCATGATTGTGAGTTTCTTGAGGCCTCCTCAGCCATGTAGAGCTGTGAGTCAATTAAATCTCTTTCCTTTATAAGTCACCCAGTCTCGGCTGGGTGCAGTGGCTCATGCCTGTAATTCTAGCACTTTGGGAGGCTGAGGCGGGTGGATCACGAGGTCAGGAGCTTGAGACCAGCCTGGCCAACATCGTGAAACCCTATCTCTACTAAAAATACAAAAATTAGCTGGGCGTGGTAGCATGTTCCTATAATCCCAGCTACTGAGGAGGCTTCCCTTATGGGGATAGGCGGAGTGAATGAAATGACGTTTATAAAGCACTCCTTTGGCTCCGTAGATCAGGAATTAGAGCACTGGTCTTGTAAAGCACTCTTGCTCCCTCTCCCTCCCTCCCCTATGCGCTCTCTTCTTCCCCCTCCTGCTCAGCCCCTCGCATGGCCACTTCTCTCCAGCTTTGCGTAACACTCTACAGAGCCTAGAATAAGCCTTTGAAATTTGCCGGGAATTAACGTCATCAATTGGGAGAACGACAGCTGCGCACGCGCGGGGCACCTACTCTGTCTCGCGCGCTAACTTTGCAGCCCCGCCAGCCAATCAGAGTTAGCGTCGGAGCTCGAGGGCCGAGGACTCACCAATGGGAACTAGGAGGAGGGCCGCAGTGGAGGCAGTGGCGAGAGTAGGCGGGGACAAGGAGAGGGCACGCACAGTTCTCGCGGCCGGGGTCTCCGCCAGCCAGTGAGAGAGGCCCGAGGCCTGACGGCAGTGGGGCGTGGCATTGGCGGCTCCAACAACCGGAGGCCGTCCCAGAACAGACCAATCGGATTGAGGAGGTGGGAGAAGTCTAGCCAATCGGCGCACAGGACAGGCATGGAGTGTCAGGGGCGGCGTAGTCTCCCGCGGACACCGCCCGCTCCCTAGCTTCAGTCAAGGGAGCCTGGCGTGCGGAGGTGGCTGAGGAGGCGGGAAGGCGGCAGTGGTTGAAGGGGGCAATTGCTAACTAGCGGGGAGGGAGTGGGCAGGGATGGTGATGGCGGCGAAGAAGGGCCCGGGCCCGGGCGGCGGGGTCAGCGGGGGCAAGGCGGAGGCGGAGGCGGCCTCGGAGGTGTGGTGCCGTCGGGTGCGGGAGCTGGGCGGCTGCAGTCAGGCCGGGAACCGCCACTGCTTTGAGTGCGCCCAGCGCGGGGTCACCTACGTGGATATCACTGTGGGCAGCTTCGTGTGCACCACCTGCTCCGGCCTCCTGTGAGTGACCGGGAGGGAGTGGCGGAGGTTGGCGTTGGCGGGGGGACCCCGAGAACCTGGGAGCGGGGTGAGGAGGCCGGGGCTCCGGAGCGCGAGGGAAGGGGGCCGAGGTAAGGGGCGGCGGAGAGGCCAGGAGACGAGCTGGCTACGGAGACTGAGTCGTTTGCTGCAGCGGTGTCGTAGGGAGCGGAAAGGGCAGGGGAGAGGAAGCGAGGCCGGAGTCGCGCTGCGGAGGGACAGGTGGGGGTGCAGAAGGACGCCCGAAGAGGGACCAAGAAATTCCCTGAGCGGGCAAGGCGAGCTGCAAATGGAGAGGGAGAAAGTGCGGAGGATGGAAGGGAACTCAGGGTGGGAGGGGGTGTCAGGACTTAAAGAACCAGAAAATGACATGCACCTTGAGAGGGAACTTCATGCAAGTGGGAAACAAAAGGAAAAAGGTGGGGAAAGCCGGCCTGGAGATGGAAAAGCACCTTTCTTCCTTCGGGCTTGTGTCCCTGCTGGAGTGTGAGATGCAGAAGCCAGTTGAAACTTGGTTGAAATTCCTATGACTAGAGTACAAGATTTTTTTTTTTTTTTTAAATAGGCGAATTAACCCAGATTGACAGCCTAGAGATAGTGGCTGGAAGAGAGCCATGGTCCAGAGTTCAGGTGTAGATACTAATCTTAGCAGGGCTTTGGAATGCTACCCAGAGGGTAAAACTCTTGTGAAATCTAAGAGATGAGAGCCAATGGCTTACCTTGGTAGAGAACTTAGCTTTTTCAAACGTTTGCACATCTCGGTGAGCCATCCGGAAGGGTAATCGTTTACACCTTTAAGTTCCCTGTTGCCACGGCTGGATCCGGGAAACTTCCTAGATTTTGGGGGACTTTGTTGCATCACCTAAATGCTACTCTTGGCATTGGTGCTGTTCAGTAATGCCAGTGAATTTACAGCCAGAGTTCTAGCCTAGATTTATGGTTATGTAGTAACCATCCCTCCACACCCTTCTCCATTCCCCCTACCCCCGAATTAAGATATTATTTGATTAGATGCATGATTAACATCTGATATCAGGCCTGGATCTCTGTTTTTTATAAGTTTGTTAAGGGATTTATTTTGACTATTTTTTAGTCTTATTTTAAGACACTTGTTTTTGTTTTGTTTTTTAAAAAGATGTGCTTTCCGGTGGGGGTGCCGTGGCTCACGCTTGTAATCCCAGCACTTTGGGAGGCCGAGATGGCAGATCACAAGGTCAAGAAATCGAGACCATCCTGGCCAACATGGTGAAACCCCGTCTTTACTAAAAATACAAAAATTAGCTCGGTGTGGTGGCGCATGCCTGTAGTCCCAGCTACTTGGGAGGCTAAGGCAGGAGAATCACTTGAACCCTGGAGGCAAAGGTTGCAGTCAGCCAAGATTGTGCTACTGCACTCCAGCCTGGCAACAGAGCAAGACTTCATCTAAAAAACAAACAAAAAACACGCTTTCCCTGGCTTGATACCTTTAGGAGCTAGGGACTGAGCAGTATTGTTCTTGCAAGACAGATGGGAGAACAGAAGCAAAGAGAGGTTTTGTAACTTAATCCAATGCCATATGGGGGTTGCTGTTTCCAACATTTGTTGTTTGATATTAGCAATGATCATGGCAGACCAGAAATGAGAGTTTAGTTCTCCCAAGATTACAGTCTGGAATTACTTACTTCGTTTTAACCTCCTTTGCTAAACTTCCCTCTGGGTTCTGATCAACCTCATTTGAGGGTTGTAAGGATGAACTCAACTTTGATCTAAGTAAAAGCCATCGTGGCTCTTGGGATGATGATTGAGAACCCAAACAGTAATATGTCATAAACTGAGATAGACTCAAATGTAGCAAGAGGACAGAGACTTGAGAGTGGATAAAGTACCCTGGGGAGAGATGGAGCAACCTTTAGGAGTAAGTATAGGGGCCAGGCTCGGTGGCTTACACCTATAATCCCAGCACTTTGGGAGGCAGAGGTGGGTAGATTGCTTGAGTTCAGGGGTGTGAGACCAGGCTGGCCAACATGGTGAAACCTCATCTCTACTAAAAATACAAAAATTAGCCCGGCTGGGCATGGTGGCTCATGCCTATAATCCCAGCACTTTGAGAGGCCGAGGCGGGTGGGTCACGAGTCAACAGATCGAGACCATCCTGGTCAACAAGGTGAAACCTCGTCTCTACTAAAAACACAAAAATTAGCTGGGCATGGTGGTGCGTGCCTGTAGTCCCAGCTACTTGGGAGGCTGAGGCAGGAGAATTGCTTGAACCCAGGAGGCGGAGGTTGCAGTGAGCCGAGATTGTGCCATTGCACTCCAGTCTGGGTAACCACAGCGAAACTCCGTCTCAAAAAAAAAAAAAAATTAGCCCTGCATGGTGGAAGGCACCTGTAATCCCAGCTACTCGGGAGGGTGAGGCAGGAGAATCACTTGAACCGGAGAGGCAGAGGTTGCAGTGAGCCGAGATTGTGCCACTACACTCTCCATCCTGGGTGACAGAGCAAGACTGTCTCAAAAAAAAAAAAAAAGGAATACGTATCAGGTGAAGTCGAAAGAGAAAGAGCTGACCCTGAAGATCCTGCTATGGAAAGGGAAATCTCATTAGAGTCTGAAGAGAACTAAAGAGAAGCAGGATGAAACTGATGGATAAAACTGAATAACTGGGAAGTGCTGACGTTATCATTATTTTGTAGATATTTCTTTTTTTTTTTTAAGATGGGGTTTCTCCATGATGGCCAGGCTGGTCTTGAACTCCTGACCTCAGGTGATCCACCCACCTC